TCATTTTAGTCTCTGACTTTTCAGTTGTGATACATTTGACCATGAATTTTGAATTTTGAATCTTATTTCAACTAAGAACACTTGAAGTTATCATTAATCAATTTGAAGGGTAAAGTCATCAATTTGATAAAATATAAACTAATTTGACAAAAATAAATGTCAAAAAAAATATTTTTGGATTTTTAAAAATAATTTCTACCCATCAAAGATAAAATTATATAAAATTGATAAATCTTTTAGATATTTTTTTTTTTACCAAATTAGTTTTTATTATGTGTTTGGATGATGATCATGTAATAGGTGGTTATTATGTTTTTAATGTGTAATCGATATATTTAATATATAAGATGTTTTTAGTTTTGGATTTTTTGATTTAATAGATTGGTTTAATAATGATATCAAAGTTGTCGCCATATTTGACTATTAAAAAAATAAAAACTAATTTAATGCAAAAAAAAAAAAAAAATCACTCATTACATGATCATCATCTAAGTATATAATAAAAATTAATCTGGTAAGAAAAATAAATAAATAAATGTCTAAAATATTTATCAATTTTACATAATTTTATCTTTAGTAGGTAGAAATAATTTTTAAAAATTTTAAAATATCTTTTTTAATATTTATTTTTGTCAAATTAGTTTAAAAAAAATATTTAAAATAAAAAGGCAGTTGTAAAATGATGAATAAATACAAGAGTTAAATTTCAGTCAGAGTGTAGAAGTTAAAGAATGAAATTTCATCACCATCACTATATTTTCAAATATAAGAAGAGAAAGAAAAAAGAAAAATGAATTGCACCTCTTCTACAACAAAGAACAATGGTGGCTTTCCCACGGACAAGAACCAAGGATGAAAGACAATGATGGCCCTTTGCTTCCTTTCCATGCATTTTACGCCGTGTTTTGGTTTGGGAATTTAAGAAGGGAATTGGAAATAGAAAGGATGTATTGGTTTGGGAATTTAAGAAGGAAATTGAAAATAAAAAGGAAAAATGTGTATGAAAGTAAAAATATAAGTATATTTTATTTACATTTTAACTGTTTTTTTTATTTTTACTTTTACTTTCTAAATACATTCTTAAATCCTCCAACCAAATACAGTATTAAAGGAACCTTGATATGTTGATGGAACAGAACCATACCCATAATGATCAAGGCCAGTAACCGTAGTGAGAAAAGATCATATTGGAGGACTAGGTTTACCACGTTGAAAGCCAGTGACAGTAATGAGGGAAGAAGATTAGATTGGCGAATCAAATCATTGATTGCACTTTTACTAAAGAAAATTAACATATATATATATATAGGGGCAAAATTGTCCATAATTATAATATAAGAAAAAATGTCTTTTACCTCCAAAAAAAAAAAAAATTGAATAAAGAGACTTTATCCGTCAAAATTTGTTGGAGTGTCAATCTCCCATTACAATTCTATTTTGGTGGACTTTTGACAGACTTTTCAAATATTTTTCCATAATTTTATTTATTTATTTTGCTTTGTTCAAAAAGTTATTTATTTTTAAGCATACTCAAAAGGATCGCACTCAAATAACTATATCTCAATAATGAAATGGCTATAGTTATAATTAGCTAGGTCCATCTTATAAAATTCATCCGTGCTTGAATATTTATTGAGCAGCAACATTACAGAATCAGAAAACTTAATTAGAAATAAGGTGAATTACTCTAACAGTTTCTATAGTTTGGAACTAGTATCATTTTAGCCTCTGACTTTTCAATTGTGATACATTTGATCATGAATTTTGAATCTTGAATCTTATTTCAAATAAGAACAATTGAAGTTATCATTACTCAATTTGAAGGGCAAAATCGTCAATTTGATAAAATATAAACTAATTTGACAAAAATAAATGTCAAAAAAATATTTGTGGATTTTTAAAAATAATTTCTACCCATCAAAGGTAAAATTATATAAAATTGATAAATCTTTTAGACATTTATTTTTTTTTTACCAAATTAATTTTATTATGTGTTTGGATGATGATCATGTAATAGGTGGTAATTATGTTTTTAATGTATAATCGATATATTTAACATATAAAATATTTTTAGTTTTGGATTTTTTGATTTAATGGATTGGTTTAATAATGATATCAAAGTTGTCGCCATATTTGACTATTGAAAAAATAAAAACTAATTTAATGGAAACAAAAAAAAAATCACTCATTACATAATCATCATCTAAGTACATAATAAAAATTAATTTGGTAAGAAAAATAAATAAATAAATGTCTAAAATATTTATCAATTTTACATAATTTTATCTTTAGTAGATAGAAATAATTTTTAAAAATTTTAAAATATCTTTTTTAATATTTATTTTTGTCAAATTAGTTTGTATTTTATCAAATTGACAACTTTGCCCTTAAAATTTAGCAATAATATCTTCAATTGTCTTTATTTGAAACATAATTCAAAATTCATTATCAAATATGTCATAATTGAAAAGTTAAGGATCAAAGTGACACAAAGCTCAAACTGCAAGAACCGTTAGTGTAATTTGCTCTTCAAAAAAAAAAAAAAAAAAGCTCCCTTATATTGGAAGGGAATTTCTAATAAGAGTCTTAAAAAACTCAAAATCCATATATTATTTTTTTTAAATTCTTATTTTTTAAGTAATTAATAAATCTTCTATTGATTAACATTTATTAAATCATATGGCTCCTAATATAGATATATATTTTTTTATTGAGATGTGCGTCATGAAAAATTCAAGTTTCTAATGTTCATAAAAAATTGGTTTGGCTGTTTTTGCGAAGTGATGATAAAATGGTCAATCAACTAAATTTTATGAGATTGGAGTGTAAACCTATTGGGTATATCACTTTATTTTAGTTGGGAGATCAATTGGCTTATTAAAAAAATTTAATTTGATTTGAAATTAGTTATAATATATTTTTAATATATTATATCTGACTTTTGGAGGTCTAATGTGTATTTAATAATCTGTTTGGTAATAGCTATGACTTTAATAAAAGGCCCAATCAACAATATTTTTTTGATATTGTCTTTACTTTTCCGAAGTGGGAGAAGCGGCTAATTGATCATATATTGGTCGATGTGTGCTTGGTATTGCTAATCTTGATGCTGTGTTCATTTTCAATTGGTGGCTAGTATTGGTGCAAAGCTTTGTGCTTTGTTTGTTGCTGGTTTGCTTGGAAGTTTTGGTTATGTTTTGGCCTTCTTTCAAAACATCGTTTGGTTCATTATTTTAGGTCTTATTCAATTCTGTTTTGAAAATTTTTATTTATCTATTTGGTGAGGTTCTTCTTCTTATTTATTTGTAATTATTTATAATTTCACCTAAGGGTAAATTACGAGACCATTCATGTCTCGTTTGTAATAGTTTGAAAACTCTTAGTTGATAGTGAAATTAGATTTCGGTCTCATTAATATACCTCACATTGAGAGAACACGAAAAAATTCTTGTATCGTTGATTTAATTTTTTCCCGTCAATTTTATTTTTATCGATTAATTTACTTGTGAGAAATCATCTATTTTCCCTAATAAAATCCCACCCCACTGGAAATGCTAACGTATTAACAATCACAAGAAACTCTTCGTCCTATATCCTTTTACAATCAATCAAGATTTATATGAAACTTGTCCAATTGTTAATCCAATTCCATATCTAAAAAAGGATAGTAAACATGGCAGAAGAGTGGACAAGTTATTCTAGTGTTAGTGGGCCATAAAATAACTTCTTGGAGGAACAGCAAACAGTGAACTGTCCTGGCTTTGGTACAACACTAAATTAATTTCATCCAAGCAGACTATGCTGTTGGAAATACTGATGAAGCAAGTAGGGGAAGGCGATTTCACAACTTTTTGTTGGTCCCACAATTGAGTGACACTTATTGTATGCATATATGCAAAACACTTCAATATTATGGATATGAATTCAGTTGTTCTTAAACATGGTGATGTGTTTGTATATTCAGTTGGTTGGCCCCCTCTCTATATATTGTTTTTCCAGCAGGACATTGCATGTGTTGATGGTCAAATCTCTCTTACATTCTGGTTTTGGACTGTGTGGGAACGTCTACAGAGGGATTACTTGGATTTTGGGCTCCAAACAACCAATGCTTTTTTTGGGTCATCAACAAATGGCAAAATCACTCCTAATAAACAAATAACAATTGGGTGTTGTGCCTTTCTAAAAAAAAAAGTAAAAAAAGAAACAATTGGGTCTTGTGGATCCAAGGCCCATTGAGAATTAGGTTGCGCCACCCTTGATTTGCATGTACGGGGCAAAGGTGGTGCAGTGAAAAAATATCAGATTCCTTGAAGTCAACCAAGGTTATCAATTCGGGATTGAGTCCTTGGATCCCTTTTCCCAATCCTCCTCCTCCTGCAACACGGGACAAAAAGAAGGAAAAAAATTATTTTCCAAATTTTTTATATAGAATTTTTCACCTACATTTTAAAATGATAAATCCTAATACAACTACATTATTCTATTTATAATTTATATATACTTTTAATAGCTTGAATATCATTATTAAAAATAAAAAAAAAAAAGTGCGTGAAGGCTTGAGAGAGAAAGATGGAGATTTTTGCACGACTTGTATTATGTTATTTTTAAAGTAAAGTTTTAATGTAATAATGATATCACGTTATCATTAATAAATGGTATAATCATTCAATTCCAAAATAACATATAGGAAGGTGAATTTCACCACGTAAATATGAGTACTCTATCCAACTCAATCTACTAACACGTGCATAATATGATACATTATACTTACGTGTCAATAATGCTATGGTGTCACCATTGCAATGATTTTTTCTCAAAATTTATTAGTGATATTGTCACGTATGGCATTACCATTAACTCTATACCTAATCCAACAATAAAAGAGATGACATGTTTTTATTTTTGTGAAATAATATTATAAGAATAATAAATAATTCTTGGGGCAGAGAGGGGACAACAAAATGATAAAAAGTAAAAGTATTGATGAGATGGAGATCAAAGGAAAGACCATGGGTATGGGCTTTCTCTAGAATTCAACAAAACTTTATAAATATTTAATGAGAGAGAGAGAGAGAGAGAGAGAGAGATGATGATTGATGAGAAGGATAAAAGGAGAGATGGAGATGGAGATGGACTCTTGACCTATGTTGGCCTCTTCTCCAACACTGAAAGTACTTTGTAGACAGAAGGGGTTGTTTGAGACTAAGAAGTGGGAGATTACATAGCATAGGTGTCGACTTCTGCTCCATTAACACACACAATTTTCTGTATCTCTCTTCTGCAACCCTCTTCTCCTTTTGTTCCACCTCTCTCTCTCTCCCTCTCTCCCCTAAGAAGAATGGAAGGAGATGAAGGAATACCCCCCATAATTGAAAGGAGAAGAAAGTTCAAGAGAATTTGTGTGTTTTGTGGTAGTAGAGCTGGTTACAAATCTTCATTCAGTGATGGAGCACTTGAGCTTGGCAAGCAACTGGTATATATATCATCCTAATGGTACCCTAAAAAGTACATAAAATTTTCATTTATTTCCATCTTTGTACATATTTGTCACGTTTAGGAGATTTGGTATGGTGATCAAGTGATGATGATGTTGTTTTGATCTTAGGTTGAGAGAAAGATTGATTTGGTCTATGGTGGAGGAAGTGTTGGTCTAATGGGTTTGATCTCTAAAACTGCTTTTGATGGAGGCTGCCATGTTCTTGGGTATATACTTTTCCTTTTTCTTTCATATTAAATAGATGATTTTCCCCCTTTAGATTTAATTAAGAAAATTTACTTATATCTTCATCTTTTGTTTGTACATGTAGAGTAATTCCTAGAGCTCTTTTGTCACATGAGGTGAAAAGTTCATCCCTTGTTTTGATTTTGTTCTTGATTTTGATTATATATTTTTTTCTTTCTTTCAACTCTTATCTTCTTGCTTGTGAAGGAAAAATAATGAAATCTATATGCAGATATCAGGAGAATCCGTAGGAGAAGTAAAAACAGTTTCAGACATGCACCAAAGGAAGTCAGAAATGGCGAAACATGCCGATGCTTTCATTGCACTTCCTGGTAAATATTATTAAAATTAAACTTACTGATAAAACAGCACATATACCACCATTGTTTCTGAAACTTTGATATTTTCAGGTGGTTATGGAACCATGGAAGAATTATTGGAGATGATTGCTTGGTCTCAATTGGGAATTCATGAAAAGCCGGTATATATGATGCGTTTGTATATTACCAATTCCTTTAAATTTCTATTTTATCATCATTGATCCATTCTTTTTCTTTCTTCCCAAACTTTATGTAGAAGATATATATTTTGAATTTTTATTTTTATTTTTATTTTTTCATTTTCAATTTGTGAACAGGTGGGGTTGTTAAATGTTGATGGGTATTATAATAGCTTGCTTGCATTGTTTGATAAAGGAGTGGAAGAGGGTTTCATACAAGGTTCAGCTAGACATATTGTGGTTTCAGCAGACACAGCAGAAGAGTTGATTAACAAAATGGAGGTACAAAATAGAAATATATTTAATACTCTCTCCCTCCCATTTTGTTGGCCAATTATTTTATTTTTTATTATCTCAAAATGCATGTCTACTTTAAAAAGTCAAAAGTTTAAATTTAAAAATTTTCAAAATTAACCCTATAAAGTAATTATAAAAATATTTAAAAATGATAATAGAAGGATATTTTTAAATTAATTTTTTTAAATTTAAATTCAAAGTGTATTTATTATGTTTTTTTTAAAAAATTTAAAATTTTTAAAAACAATGATGAGACCAAGAGAGTGTTAAAATAAATATATTTCAGTAGTTACAAAACCTAGTCCCCTATATTTTATGATATATATATTATTTTTAGCTTGTATGTTGAATTATTGGAGAGGGTGACAAATGAGGGATATAGAAGAGAGTAGGGAATGATTTTATTATTTGGTTTAATTGTATGTTGCAGGAGTATGCCCCAGTCCATGACAGGGTAGCACCCAGACAAAGTTGGGAAGTGGACCAATTATTAGAGTCTACTACAAGTGGAGAAGCTCAAGAATCTTAGATCTTAATCACCCATCTGTATGTATGTATAACATATATACTTATATGTCTTGTGTAGTGCCATTTTAATCAAAAGAAAAGGACAGCAAAAGTAGGCCCTCTTTCTCTCTCTCTTTCTCTCTCTAACAAGTGGGGAAATCCTAAGATCCCATATCTTAATCACCTATTTGAATAATTGACATGTATGTTGTAGTCCCATTTACAATCAATTTAAGGTAATACATTATTCTCTCATTGTTATGTTGGCCATTGACCATGTCAAAAAAGCATTTAAGGTGAGACCAGGTAGGCTGTGGAAATGGATCTTACTTTTGTTCACCCATTTGATAGGTGGATTAATTTTTTTTTTTTTTTGAATCAATAAAAAAATAATATTGAGGGTGTAAGACTTGTAACAATATAAATTCAAATTTTTAATTTTCTCAATTTAACCTTTAATCATTTAATTTATTTTTAATATAAATTATTTGTCTATTTTCGTTCAGTAAAATTAATAAAAAAAATAATATTTTAGTGATTATACTCAATATAAGTGTATGAAAAATGTCTAAAATACTATTTTTTACTAAGTTTAGCGATTAAACTAATATTTTTTTGTCAGTTTTATTCATAAAAAATAGCTAAATGATTTAGATTGAAAATAAATCAAAAGGTTTAGGGTTTAAATTGATAAAATTAAAAATTAAAAATGTATTTTGTTACAAAACTAAAACTTTGGATTTTAAAAAATTTACAATCAATTTAAGGTAATACATTATTCTCTCATTGTTATGTTGGCCATTGACCATGTCAAAAAAGCATTTAAGGTGAGACCAGGTAGGCTGTGGAAATGGATCTTACTTTTGTTCACCCATTTGATAGGTGGATTAATTTTTTTTTTTTTTGTTTGAATCAATAAAAAAAAAATAATATTGAGGGTTTAAGACTTGTAACAATATAAATTCAAATTTTTAATTTTGTTAATTTAACCTTTAATCATTTAATTTATTTTTAATATAAATTATTTATCTATTTTCGTTCAGTAAAATTAATAAAAATAATAATATTTTAGTCATTATACTCAATATAGGTGTATGAAAAATGTCTAAAATACTATTTTTTATTAAGTTTAGCGATTAAAATAATATTTTTTTTGTCAATTTTATTCATAAAAAATAGCTAGATGATTTAGATTGAAAATAAATCAAAAGGTTTAGGGTTTAAATTGATAAAATTAAAAATTAAAAATTTATTTTGTTGCAAAACTAAAACTTTGGATTTTAAAAAAAATAATTTTCCCCTTTCTGTTTTGATTAATTAGTTTAATTTTGGTATAAATACAGAAATCAAAGATAAATCCAAACACAAATAAAGTATATATGAATAAATAAGATTTTACAAAATTAGAATCCACTTTTAAAAATCTTATATGGGCCTACCTAGTTGTTTTGACTAATACAAAATGTAAAGGAAAAGATAGATTGTTCTTTATATATGGACCATTTTACCTAGGTTTTGAGGGGGCTAAGGCAATAGTCCATTTTCATTGTTAATTTTTTGTTGGGGTGGGACATTTGCTTACTAGATTCTGCTATTATGGATGGGAAGCCTTTGGATTTTGGCTTGATTGTTCACTGAGCCTTTGTAGGCTTTGGACCACAATACAATTTGACAATTTTGTAGCTTAGTGCATTTTTCAACTCTTTTTCTTATTATTTCTTTTGTTTTTTTACAATGGAGATGGAGCAGTGCTTCCTACATTGACAGTGCAGCCAGAAATTGTTGGGAATTTGTTCCACATGTGATGTAGAGAGAGATGATGGGCCATGTAATGTTCTAATAAAAAAATCATCACATGTTTATTCCAATGGACATTGCCATGCAACATGGACTGAAAAATGATAATCAACTATCTTCAATTGTTTTATTGAATAGCAATAGGATAAATGCTATGAAAGGAAACCATATTAAGCAATGGGTACTACTCTATGGCTCTATTTGGTAGGATTTATTTTCAACTTATTTCAGTTTTTAGGTTAATTTAATATATTTTGATGTGTTTGGTTCAGCTTAACAATACAGCTTATAACTTTTTGTGAGTTAAAAATCAATTTATTCTTTGAGTGAGGGAGGAAAAGCTTAATTTATAAATCAAAAATTAACTTATGTTTACAGTTATAAGTTATAATCACTTTCCCACAGTTCTACCAAACGGAACCTATATACAATTATGCAATTAGATGTAGATTTGGATCCTAGTAAAGTCCATATTCAATGTCACACAATGAGACTGAAACAAATTGTTAAAGATCAATTCTAACATTTCAAGAAATTAATTCTATAATATATATATATTCATACAATAAGACCCCAAATTTTTCAAGAATCAATTTTTTACTTTTACCTTATCAATATATATATATATATATATATATTCTTGTTTAAAGGCCCAACAAAATAATAAACTGTTCTTGTCAGCGTGCACAAACAAACAAGCATACACACCCAATAAGAAAAAACACTGCCATTGTTCAAATGTGTCCTATAGATAAACTTATTTTTAAGAAGTACGAATATTATACACTATATAAATAAGATATACATATGTTAATATAATAATTTAAAAAAATGTAAGATATGATATATGGAGCATACGCACAAAATATATATTTATTATATATGTCATAAACAACATAAAATAAGATTTGAAACTTGAAACAATATAAACTTAAATTTTTAATTTTATCAATTTAAGTGCTAATATTAAATATAAATTTAACCTCTAATATTATTTGACATTTTTAATGTAACACTAATTTTTATAAATTGACATTATTTTTATGTTAACATTGTATTCTAAATTATTTTGTTCAAACTTATAATTGGTTTCATGTGTGTCTAATTAATGTATATGTGTGTTTAAGCAATGGACACGTGTGTTCTCCACATATCTAAAGAATGTCCAAAGGGTGTCTGAGTCTAAATTCTTTCCAAAAAAATAAGACAAGTTTGGATGAGTGTCGAACACGTGTTAGGAAAGTGTCTGACGAGTGTCGGTGTCCGTCACGAACACGCCACTTTTTTAGAAGTGTCAATACTTCTTAGCCTATGTTATTTCAAAAGTAAATATTGATGCAAAGTGTTTTGCTATAGAATTATTGAATTTTATGGACAAACAAGGCACAGACAAAAGACACTTGTGGAGGTAAGATAACACATGCTCAGAATTGCGTAAAATTTGATAGAGACATGAAAAACGTTGTGATGATCAGGACCTATTGTTATGCTATGGCCTGCGATGAATTTTGGGCGAATTCCAATGTTAAGGCCATCAATTTTGCAATTTTTTTTTTTTTTTTTTTTTGTTGAAATATTTGATTAGTTTGTAACTTGGTCTAGACAAATTTGATTTTGCCTAAGTTTTTTCTACTGTATTTATTTTTCTTTATAGTATCTGAATGTCAACTTAATTTGAATTTTTTTACTTTTAGATATTTTCTTATTTTCTTTTATTTTGTTGTGTTAATTAAGGAACTGCCTTTTTTGGGTTGTTTTATAGTTTCGTAGTCAGACTAGGGTTTTTTCTCGTTACAAATAAAGGTTGTAAGCCTTTACAATTAGGTTAGTTGATTAATAATATATAATTTTGTTTCAGACAATTTTTGGTAATTTTTGGATTCAACAAATTTTTTGAAGAGTTGTGATTTTCTTGTTGCTTTATATTTTTCTCTGCACGTGTCATGCTACATGAGGTATTAGAGCCTTGCTCGGTTCCTAATCATGGTCCGAGGAAGCCGTGGTGGTCGCCAAGACAACACTAGAGATGTGTATGAATGTTGTTAGTTTTATAGTTGTGTTGCCATATATTGTGCATTACCATAATTAGCTTTACAGTAGTTAGCTTTCTTATAGGATACTCATTCTCAACCTATATATAAGCCTCTTCTATTTTATTATGTATTATCTTATTGAATAATATATACATTATATAGATTTCTCTTCTTTCCCTCTGTGTGTGTGTGTGTGTGTGTGTCTGTCTAATATTATAACAAAGTATCAGAGCTATAAAATTCTATCCATTCCAACAAACATCACCCGAAAACACCATTGTTTTCTCGTTTCTATTCAACAACTGTTCAAATGCTTGGACTCGTCATTTTGTCCAAATAACTACATTATCTTGCTTGGAATCTCCTTACGATTCTAACGTTACTGACCTTGCCTCAAAAAATGGTTGCACGCGTCACTAGTAGCTTTGGTACGTAGACTGCTTCTATCACCCGCTGTTCATGTGCCCTCACACACCTTATCACAAGAACTCTATGCTTGTTGACGTCAGTCTCACGTGCACCTCTCACAACCTTCTACATTTCTAACATCTGTCCTAGTTGCTACGCCTGTCTCTCTAGTCGTCTACGTCACTTTGTCTTAAGCCAACTCAACCTCTCTCGTTGACGTTATCTGATATCAATCTTACATGTGGTACGCACGCCTCTACTGCTATTGTGCACCGCCTTTCTCTCATGCTAACGTGCATCACGCGTTTCTTCTGTTATCGTACGCCGCACATTGATGCTAGCCATAGCTGTTGTACTTGGTCATCTATTGGCCTATTTTTTTTTTACTATTTTTTGGTCTAATCAATCTTGTTCCTTACTATTTTCAACCTTCTGGATTCACTGGTGCATTTCGTTTTATCCAATTTTACTCCGACACCACTACTTCCTCTTTGTGTTTATTATTTGATTACCTTATGGCTTGTTCAGATAGTCCTCAGCATAGTAGATATTCTAGACCCCAACAACATACAGACGAGATTAGTCTTCGGCTTATTTTGCATCTACTATAGTTGCCCCTGGCTCATCATCTACTTCAGTACCTTTACCACCCTACACTCTTCAAGACATTGAAGTTATTGTAAAAAAAAAGTTCTTTCTACATCTGGTACACTCTCTATTGCTCTTTTAGTCACTCTAGGTACCTCTTATTGGTATTTTGATTCTATTGTTGCAATCATATGACTTCTGACCCTACACTTTTCTCCTCTACTACATCTTATTCGAATTTACCTGTCATTCACATTATTGATAGCTCTCAAATGCATGTTAGTCATATAGGTCATATTTTCACTTCTAATGTCTCTCTTCCTTACACTTATCTGATCTCCAATCTTATGCTTAATCTTATTTCAGTTAGTCAACTCTATGATCTTAGCCTCACTATTTTATTTTCTCCAACTGGCTATGTTATGCACG